AGAGAGATTATAATAATAAGAGTAAAGATCTAAGACAAATTAATGAAAACGTTTAAGAGAGAAAATTGTGATTTTAAAATTAAAAGATAATATATATATTTAACAAGAGATCCACGAGGAAAAAGAGAGAAAAAGAAAGAAAAAAGATAAAATAAAAGAGAATATCAGACGGAATGTTTGAGAAAGAAAAAGAGAGAAACCGCGATAGAAAAAGAGAACATGCGGAACGTACATATGGGGTACTCATTTGAACAAAAAGAAAATATTGGACGCAGCCCAAACTGATCCTTCCGAATTAGGAGGATCACCAAAACGGTAACATTATGTCAATAAACTTGATATACAGTATATTTGAATTTACAATTTCCTTTGTCTACACATTTATTGAGCTAAAATTTTAAAAATCGTTCTTTAATTAAATTGAGTTTAATGTTTTGCATATAAATATTTATTGTCAGATAGTTTAGTATCGTCATATCGATATGTATTTCATGTGAAATTTGTAACGCGTTCCTTATCGAGCCATTTCGTGCCACTACAATTTCCGTGGATTTTATGTGCATTTTTTATTGGATATCTCTCAAGATTTCAAAATATCTGCCAAAATAGCCACCAAAAATATAACCTTTAAGTATGAAGGCTTCTTTGCATATATATTCATAGAGGCTTTGGTATTAAAATCCATTTTCAACCGATTCAATTTATAAAATTACGTTTAGAAGAGAAATGGCTAAATTAAATATCTCAAATTTGATAATTTAAAGTTACGTGTCCATGTATAACGATAAAGGTTGAATAAAAGTATAGTACGTGTATTTAATACAGTGACTCGCTAAAGAATCGGAACTTGAAAAAAAAATGGCGAGATTCGAATTGAAGAATTATCGAGACCAAAAGAAAGTGGATTTAATTATTAAAATAATAATAATCACTTAATCCAATTTTTATTTTCATCTGTCTTTTAATTATCTTTTTAATATGACCGAATTGGACAAGAAATTCAAGCCCATAAAGATAAGTATAAAAGCACTTTTTTACTACATTATCTACAGAACACATTTTCGTTATTCTAAACAATAATTATAACCACTTTTATTCCAAAATACCTCGCATTTCACTAGAAAAACACTTCCAAATATACAGTCCCCGACAAGAAGGATATTTGCTCTGGGAAATCGCATTATCAGAACAGGCGGGTTTAGCTTCAGTCCAACGCATCTGAAAAACAAAGAAGAAACTGGAAACTTCGAAGATAAACCAAAACCCGGTCGTCCACGCATTCTTTCAGATCGTTACGAACGGAATGCCATCCGATTAATATCATCTAAAAAATGCGCTGCCACTGTTCAAGTTCAACACGAGCTCCAAACTGAACTGGGAGTCAAATTTCAGCGGAAAGCGTATGACTTATGTTTAAAGAAATAGCTTATTCGCAAGAAGTAATTAAAATTATAATTAAAATAAAATTTTAAATAAAGTTATAAAGTTATAAAAAATAAATAAAATTATAAATAAAATTATAAATTTGTAATAAATAATAAATTTTGTAAAGAAAGTTATAAATTAAACGAAAAAAGCTGATTAGAATGGACAAAAAAGGCTGAAATCGGACGGTCAATGACTGATGGTAAATAATTTGGTCCGGCGAAAGTAATTTCCGATTATGTGGATCGGACGGACGAAAATGGTGCTGGAAGAAAAATCAACATGTTACACCAACTGTAAACTTTGGTGGCGTGACAGTTATGGTTTGGGGCCAGCGGAGTTGGTGAACTCCGAAAAATCAACGGCATGCTGGAAGATAGTGAATTCATATTCCAGCAAGTTAACAACTCTAAACAGTAAAACAAAGCAATGGTTTCTTGATAATGACATTACTTTTCTTGATTGGCTCACCCAGTCCCCCGACTTGAATCCAATCGAAAATTTATGGAACAAAGTCAATACACATTGGCGGAATCTTCCTGACCCACTTTTAAATAAAAACGATTTGTGGGAAAAGCTACAAATTGCTCGGAAGAGCATCGAAATCGACTTTTGCGAAAGGTTGGTCAATTTGATACCAGAAAAGGTCAGTGATGCGATACAGGCAATGGTGGATATATAGAATGGTAGTCTTAGTTTAATAATGTGTAATGTGGGGTTTTTAACAATGGCTAATGTTTCCTTAAGGAGAACTCGCCTTTAAATCTTTTGGCCTTCAATGGCAAGATATTCGAATCTCGCCATTTTTTTTTCATGTTCTGTTTCTTTAGCGAGTCACTGTAAATTTTTTTTAATGCTCTAAATAAAATGAATTTCTCATTCACGTTCAAATCGATTTGCAATATACTTTAGATTTGTCAATTTTATTGGCTTTATTGTTATCGTTATAGGTATAGTATAAAAATATGTAGTTATTTTTAAACCCTGTAAACGTCACATAGACTAGATTTTAATATTGTTATTGATAACAATTCACATTTAATATTAACTTAAAAATTGACTTCACGTGAAACCCAATCTAAGAAAGCTTCAACATCACTATACATACTCTCTCTAGCTCGGTTATATTTACTATTACTATTACTGATACCATCACTTTCTATTTCCATCTCATTAGCATCTCCATCACCACGAGAAAAATCAAATTCCACAAATTTTCTCGCGACAAGTTCACAAGACGCATATAGTCGTTTCTCACGATCACTTATGAACGGGGGCGGGATGGATTCGTAACGCGCAAATAAAGTCGAGAGATGTTTTGCTAATTGGTTTCATTTTTGATCATTGTGCAAGTTTGACGGACTACAATTAAATTAATAAATAGATTATCGATAATTACCTCGTTGAACTATGTTCTCTGGTACTCCAGCCAAAGTAGCACAATAAGTACCCCAGGATGCTGTACTTCTTCCCGGAACAAGTCTAATTGTTAATTCATCAGAAAATGCAATTAATTAATAAAAACACGAGAACATAAATAAATTAGATAAAACAAATCGAAATGACTACCGATATAGAAATGTGATTTCATCGTCTTGCTCGTCTTTGATTATTTCCATCGTTGCAAGAGAAATAGGAAGGTCTGGCGACATTAAATTGTTTTCAAATATTTCTAGTCAAAAATATTCAAATTAATCCAAAAAGCTTTAGAAAATGAAAAGAATAACGATAAGGTCACGGCATATATTAGTTTACCATGAAAATGTGTCGCAGCAATAACTTTAGGACACCTTAGCCCACGATTGATTAAATGCTCAAATACACCACAAAATAATCCGGCACCATCTTTTTTAATATTATTTTTGCAGATAAATTAATAAGAAAAAAGAAAAAAAATCCAATAAAATAAAATACCAGTCGACCCAGTTCCTTTTCCAAATTCATCGAATATTAGTAACGATCGTTCCGTAGAATTACGCAAAGCGATTGAGATTTGCTGTAAATCAATCATGAATGCGCTTTGAATCTAAAATTTAAAAACTCTATTTTTTGAGCATAAAAGACAAATTTTTTTTGAAAGTCAAAAAAATCGCAAGAATCGACCTTTGATACAGTTTCACGCGTTTGCACGCGGGTAAATATCTTGTCTGTTAATCCGATAATAGCGGACTCTGCCGGAACAAAGCTATAAAAACACAAAAATAAGATTCGTGATAAAATATTCAATAATTCAAGTTCTCAATTTATATACTCTCACCTTCCTATATGTGTCATAAACACAATCACAGCAACTTGTTTCAAATAAATACTTTTCCCGGAATAATTTGCGCCACTTAACAACATAACACTTTTTGCGTCTTCATCTTGGTGATTATTATCACTTGAAGAATATCTTCTCGAAGATGCAGCTGTATTATTTGTTGGAAAAGTTAAATCCTCATTTTCTTTGTCTTCAGGTTTGATTATTCCTTTACCACCCGCCAAATTCGTATCATTCGCGACAAATACGTCAACACAAAGTTCTTGAAGTGGATGTCTTAATTGATAAAATATTAAGCCATAGATTCTAATTAAACTATATACCGTAAACTCTCGAATTTAAGCAACCCCCTACGTCATCATTTTTTGACCAATTTTTCGTGGGGGTTGCTTAAATTCGAGAGTTTACGGTAATCATTGTGATAAATTTACCTTCCTTTTACTATCTTCAATATATTTTCTTCGGTAATCTGCGGTCGCGAATATTGATATCTTCTAGCCGACTCAGCCAAGGAAAGAAGACTTTTTATTTTATTTATTATGGTTCAATCCTTGATTTAATATATTATTTTAAATATAGTCTACCAATCGAGTTCCGCGCAAACTGCTGTCGACGCTAATAGTGACGCTGTATTCTCGCTAACTCGTTCTTGAAGTCGTTGCATGATTTCTATTTCGCGGTCTGGATGCAAAATTGTAGTTATAATTAATCGAGAATCACATCTAACATTCGACAATATTATACAAACCAACTATTAGTCCATGAATATCTCCAAGATATTCGTCAAGTTCTGTAATTTCAATAAAAATCAAATAAGCCCATTCAAATCCTTTCATTTATTTATTTTATTTACCACGCATTCGATCATTCTTGTAATATACGGTTGTCACTGTACTAAACTAAAAATAAAAATCCAATTTAAAGCTATGTTTATTTGATCACACGTTAATTAATTTATTATACCTGATAATACAACCCTTCAATCTGGAAATCCTCCTCCTCTTTCCACTCAGGCTTCAATGGAACAGTAATCAAATATCCAAGTTGAGGAAAATAAATGACATTCAATGAGGATGCGAATTCACTTGGAATTGTTGTAGCGATTTCTCGTGCGACCTCAGACTTTATCGTTATATCAGATTTTAAGTTTACCTTTAGAACTACGTTTCTTGAAGTAAATATCGAAAGTGAGAACAGTTACCAAGAAATCATCTAATCCGTTATAAGTTCTTTTCATTTCATCGAGTTCCTAATATTAGGAATATTCAATTCAAGGTTAATGCTAATATAATATATTAGATATGAAAAACTAAGAATAAACACATACTTCATCAATGTGTAATTTGACCACAACGCGATTCTCGTTTGCACTTTCATCGAAATCGATCTATATTTATAACAAGGAGAAATATGATTTATTTCGGAATTATTGATTTCCGACTTCATGATGTCAATGCAATAAACATACCACATCATTTATAACTGAGCCAATATCTTTCAACTCAGTAACAACAAAAGTTTCTCGTATCTAAAAAATATAATATTCTGAATTCAAAAAGTTCAAAAGATATAAAAAAACAATAAAATTGAAATTTGATACTTTGTTGAATATTTGTATATTTTCTGAGGAATTCAATTCTCGAACAAGATTACGAATTTTAAGACAATAATAGGCGAACTATCAATCAATTAGTCGATCCGTTCACGCCATATTTCAAACGTAAAAATGAAAGTTACCTGCAATAACGACTGCCACTCTGCGATACTCAACTTCCCCTTCATACTCTCCAGTATTTTTGGGACATTTTTAACATGCTTCAAGCAACTGGCTAATTGCTCGGAAATATGAATATTATCCGGCTGCAGAAAACAGTCAATGGTGCGAAACCTTTCTTCGAGGATATTGATGTCAAGGCTTGGTCGAAGAAACCATTGTTTAAAGAGTTGTTTGCCGGTTGGTGTTCTAGTTTTGTTGAGTATTCCTAAATAGCCATTGTATCAATAAAAAAAGAATTTATTGTGGCTCATTGATTAGTCCATTGAACTTGCTTTTTGTAAATTTATTTGCGTTTTACCGAAAATAGACAATCCTTCTTTAGCTCGAGATCGCGTATGCATATTTGGATGTGACTCGTCTTCGAAGATTTGGAGAGAACTAAATGCGTATATCGATTTTCACAAAATAAAATTTTTGATCAAATATAAAGTTTGCAAGAAAATCAATGACCAGAGAATAAGAATACCAAAGCGTATCCGCGTTAACATGCAGAAATGTTTTCCTATTTTTAGAGTATTAATGTTTAATGATTAAAAAAAAGCTTATAAATCTAATTATACATTACTGTGCATAACTTACAACGAGAATTGTTCAACAGACTGTATTTTGAGACCTTGATCCTGCTGATACAACAATTCATCTGTGACTCTTGCTCTTGCAATATAGCTAAGCAAAGCACCCGCGCAGCAGACCTGAACCAATTCACCAGATCATTATTTAAAAAAAAAAACATAGAAAAACGTAGAAAATTAAAGCTAAACATACTGTCTCGACGCTATCCATATTAACAATACTTGATAACTTCAAATACATGTCTTTTTTTGAAGCGTCAATTTCCACTGAGCTAAATCCGTGAGGTTCACCAAACTTTATTGATAAAAGTTTTGTTTTGGCTGATGCCCATACGAATTCAACGTTTGGACGAATCTCGACCGTAGATTCTACGGGGCTTGATTCATCTTTATTTGTATTTATATTTTTTTATATTAAATTATTAATACAAACTCGCGATTGAGACGGTAAAAATATTTAGAAAAACAATTACCAGTAGTTTTTAGCGCTTCTATAAAGTCTTCATCTGCACGAGAACTAGTTAGAATAATCGACGGTGAGATTTGAAATCGCACTTTAATTTGAAAGATTAATAATTAAACAATTATATAAGCTAAAGAATTGAATGAAAAAAACTATATAAATAATCACATAAATCAAGCAAATCGTAAGGAGTGTTATTTTCTTCCGTATCTTCCATTATATATAAAGTAGAATTTGCCGCATTATAGTATGCACAACCCAATTTTCGATTTCTAAAATTGACGGCCATTATTACCTAATATTAAGTATATTTAACTGAGTATATAACTGAGTATATATAATAAAGTACGAAGAAATATTTCAATAAAATAAAACTTACTTTATCAATTAGACTATCCTCACGATCCAAAGTATCGTGTTCAGTAGTGGTTTCTTCTTCGTTTCCAATTATTGACGTTGCAGTCGTCGATACCATTGTCTCTCCATCATTAACAACATCTTCATCGTCCTCAATATCCGTAGATATTATTCTCGCTCGTTTGGTTTCCTTTCTTGTAATCGCATCCGTACTTTGCCCTCTCGGATTAAATATAGTTGCATTTTTAGTTTGACGATTGGGAAATTTTCGCTTTGATTCGATTTCCCATGACGGCGTCGAAGCTCGAGATTCACTAATCGATGCACGTGAAGAAAACCCCGAGTTACTTATACCAATATTTTGATGAGAAGTTTCAGGTTGAATGGATGTATTGGATGGGTTTTTAGTGATATCGCGTGTTTCGAGACTTAATGATGCTAATTTTTGGCGTTTTGTGTATGGAGAATCATCACTTTTAAGTTCCGAAAATTGAGTTGGTGATGTCGCAACACTTGAAGAAGAAAACATTTCATTGACGTTTTTATTATTGATGTTTATTGTGTTTTTTGGATCGTTGGTGATTGATGATACTGAAGTATTGTTAGTTAGTACATGTATATTAGAGGTCTCATTATCATCATTGTTATTGTCAATATTCATTCTATCGGATTCCATTTCGCTATTCTTAGGTGTAACTTGCTGTGACCACATTTCATTTTGAAAATGTTCTTGACTATTTTCTTGTGGAAAAGTATATACGAGTAAGGGAGTTTCAGAACTTTGTCCCATTTCTTGCATTAAATCTGTGGTGGTGGTGTATAGGTTGTTTTAATAAATGAAGGATCCTTATTCATTATGCAGTTTTTCGATTAAGAGTTTGATTTATCGTGTTATACGTATATATACCGATACGTATTAATTTTATTGATTAAAAAATCAAGCTATTGCTAAAATATAATATTGCTATTAAAGATGTTTCTCGAAAAAATATTGTTTTCATCCTCGCCGTAATGTGCAATTAAATTTATCACGTTTTATTATATAGGACTTCGCTTTAGACATGATGCAGTCACTAGCGCTAGATTGACAAACAAAAATATTTACTTTACCAAATTACTCATTAAATTAGCGTTAGTACGTATCGGTATTGTGCAACGATTTTCGGAACTGATACACTCCATGAGAAGAAATTTGATAACATACTGTTACAAATTTGTTCACTAATTGTTAAATTAGCTAGCAAACTTGAACCTGAGTTGGGAGAGGGATTATACAAATAAACTAAATACTAAGAGGGAAGAGGGGTATCTAAGTCCTATGTCTATATTGACTGATATAGTGAGAAAAATTAAATTAAAAGGAACAAATAACTAAAGAAATAATCACAGGGATAAAGTATATAAGAGAGAAATAAAGAAATTAAAAAAAGGGTTGGATAAATATGTATTCAAACAGTGAATTATAAAAAAAGAATAATATTAATATTTTTATACTCATGTTACCATTTTTTAGTGTAATATATATTATTTTAATGAAATAAAATCATAAAATCAAGTCATAACAAAGATAAAACTAGTACTCTAACTGGATTGGATCCAATCCATGACCTGATTCAGCATGCACATTTTGAATCAGATCAAATTGGGATTAAACCTGATTCAAAATATTTTGGATAGTCTAAAAAATGTTATTTATTGTTCAATATTAATCAGAATTCAATGAATATATACACAATTATATTCAAAACAACTCTATTTAGATACAAAATACAAGAGTTTTAATAAAGTAAAAGTTATTAATAAAAAATCATTTTACAATTTTTGAATCAAACCTGATTTAAATTTGATCTGATCCAAAATTGTTAATTCAGATTGTTCTCAAACTTGATTTGAATTTGCTTTGATCCAAAATTATTAGTTCAGATTGATTTTAAATCTAATTTGAACAGAGTTTAAATGAAATATAACATGATAATACAAACTTAATATAAAACAAAATAAAATAACAAAATAACTATTATAAATTATTCAAGTATAGAAAAACTATTTATTTCTAACTTATTGTATATTATAAAAAGTTTATTTAGTTTCAACTTATTGATATAAGATAAGAAATCATCTTTATTTATATATTTTGAATATAAAAGTAATTTACATAAATTATTATAGAATTTATATTATAAATACAATAATAATAAATATTTACATGATATAGTATATATTTTTAATAATATTTATTGAATATGATAAAGAGTGTGATATAAATAATTGATTTATAAAAGAGTATGATTAGGAGTATGATAAGTAAAATTAAATACAAAAAGATAAAAAAGTATTTTAATGAATATAAAAGATATTTCAAAGTGTAAGAAAGATATTTCAAGAAGTAAGAAAGGTATTTTGATAAATATAAAGATAACAAGAGTACAAAATAAATTAAAAGAGTATTTTTTACTAATAATTAATAATTAATATAATAAATAAATATATGAATATAAATAATTAAATAAATAATAATTATAAAGTTATTTGTTATTTTGTTATTTTTCTACAATTTTTAAAGATTTTTATATTATCTACTATTTTTAAAAGTTTTCTTAATTAAATATTAATATTATGATATATGCAAAATGAAACTCTATCTTGCATGAAACAAATTTATTATGATGTATAATATCTAAAGTAATCAAATGTTTGTATTTTACAAAATGTATAAACATCCTTACAAAGAAGTAAATGCAAAATTTAATCTGTGAATATGATAGAATAGGCCCTTTCTGAACATATTCACAGATTAAATTTTTATTTAATTCTTAAAGATGCTTATACATTTTATAAAAACACAAACATTGATAACTTTAGATGTTATGCACCATATCTAAAGCAAAGTGCTATGCAGTCAAAATGGTCGTGCTAGCTCTGTGAAAAATGAACAACAGTTGTCTACAAATCCTCGGTATCGGTATCGGTGTATTCTTGATTATACAAAATGCATACACTATTTTGCATAATGATAAGGTAAATAAAAATTGTGAAGACTGTTTCTGGGAACGACTTCTTTTTAATACTTAAAAAAAATAAATAACGATAAATGCATGTAATCCTGTCATAAATACATCATTACTATCGCAATCTTATTAACCCCAGTAAAAATCGCATTTTTTTATCTTTTCAGGATCAATGGACATGGATTTCAATTATTAGACTGTAAACGGATTTTTGACTCATTCCGGATACTTTTTAGAACACTCTGAGGGGGTAAATCTACTTCTCACTTCAGATACCCTTCCTGACATTTCGCATATACATGTAATTTTATCACATTGACCTTTCAAATTTATTTATTTAAGCACTACAAGTGTCAATTTGTATGTTCCTATATATTTAACGTTAATATTGTTTTTGATTAATTCATTGCTATTTTTTCTTTTGGATTGCAAAACATAAATTCACGAGAATGGAGATCTATCGAGTTTCTACAACTTCACTTCATGATGAAACACCCAATATCATGCTCGTTATTAGATGAAACTGGTTTTCATGATGAAACACTTCCAATATCATGCTCTTTATTAAATGAAACTGGTAAGCATGACTCTATATATGCGTTATCGTTATAGAATCACATTTAAAGGATAAAATTATACTTTTTATATTTGTCAGCATCATAAAAAAACTTTAGCGTTAGCGTTAGAGATGATGATAGAAAAACAAATTATAATTCACCAATATATTCATCTTTCCCCAACCCACCCGAAAGCGTCGTTTGGAGTCAAATACAATTCCTCCTTCACCCGAAAATAAAACGAAGCGAAAGCAATATTATGCCACAATAATTACATTAAATAAATGAAAAAATTATTATCGTAATGTTATTTTTATTTTTTATTTTTATTTTTATAATTAGTTAAGAGCCTTTTATTAGTATACACATGATAGAAAGTGTTTACAGTCAAAATTCGATATAACGATAGGTTGGGGATAATTAATAAATATCGTTATATCGAAAATTTAATTAGTCGTATCAGTATACGTATCGAGTTTTAACTGTACAATACTTTTACAGCATCTGACAATAAAACCAGCTTATCGATATCTAATTTATTGGGGCACTTTTACACTACATAGGTACTCTTTTAACATAATGACAACAATAAAACAGAAATTCTATCAATCAGTACTTGACACAGAAATCAACTTTCACGTTTATTTACCCATCATTTCAAAGTTTTAGATAAAACTGATTTTATAAAGTGAACTCAAAGATGAATTCTAAAATTCGAATACTTATCATTGTAGTGAATGTGTTTTTTATCGGGTACGGGATCACTACAATAAGTGTTCGGATCACAATACTCATGATTGTAGTAAATGTAAAAAATGAGTTCTGCCTTGGACGTTTTGACAGACTGTTTAAGAAAAGAATGCGAGAAAATCAGTAGTAGATTTTTCGAATATCTTGCAAAAGGAGGTTTTGGAGCAATTTATGAAGCATCGTTGCCGTGACAAAAGGTGGGCTCATAGAGAAAATAAATTTAAACGATCTAATAAATATAAATGCGAAAATTATTACACAATTCAAAACAAATGACATTAGAATTCATAACGAAAAATGAACAATTTCATAAGTGAAAACATCCTTCCAAAAAAGAATTGCTTATATTCTGAAGTTTACGGTATCATGTTTGTATCTTTCCACCTGTCGGATGACAGTAACAGTTTTGAACCTGGATAAATTTTTCGCAAGGACGAATTTTCATTCAATAATCCAATTGTATCTTCTTTTAATTGCACGGGGAATGATATTAGCGAGAGTATTTTGCGTGCCCTAGTTTATGGAAAGTAAGATGTTAATATCATGGAATAAAAAAAGCCAAAAATTTTCATGATGAGAAATTGACTCGGTATAACAAGTACGTATCTGTTTTCGTACACACTATTTCTGGTTTATCAGTTCGAGAAGCAACCGCAATTTTGGGAATCCGGTATATTCATTCAACAAATACTGGCTTTTCACCGTGTACAGTTCTAAAAAACTGCCTTGAACGGGAGTTTAAAAGTATAAACCATAATTCGTGAGAAAAATAAAAATACAAATACAGTGATAAGTAATTTCCCGAGAAAAGCATCAACGCGCTTGCATCATGGGCGGTTTTTGAACTTATGGACAAACCAAATCTAAACTATATCTAAATTGCTGCTGAAGAGCGAACACAATCTGACATCCTACGAAAAATTCTAGTAACGGTAAGTTCTAGAAATTTTAGCTAACGTCAACATGATTACCCAAACAATCACATTCCGCCCAACAATTGGATTATATAAAGGAGCAAAAAAAATAGCCATTTTAGAAAAATCACATATGGTAAACATATTCAAAATCTCATTTTCGTTTCTCACTTGCATCTTTGTCCATGTCTATAATAAAACACATTCACTTTTCGTTCCCTCTTATCTAATCAGAAGTGACTAATGTAGTTTTAATCATCATGACCACGACAACCACAACGACAAGAGTGCTATATAATTTGTCTTATAACATTAATCGTCTCATCTTTAACACTACTTATAATTGCAGGTTAAATAAGGTAAGAAATTTAATTTGTGCACCATCGCTTTATCCCATAGGTGAGTTTCTATGCGTTATTGCTCTATCCCATAGATGAGAGTCCTGTGCCCCACCGCTCTGCCCCACAGATGAGATATCCTGTGCGCCATAGCACTGTCCATGATAAAATCCCTCTTGCGTCACCTTTGCTCATACGAAATCATCTGTACGCACACCTCGTGCAAAGCTTTGCTTACATGACTCTGTTTCTTCTCATCGAACCCAGGTTCATGGTATATTTTTAGGAAGGATAAATTAGGGCTGGTTGCCTAAACTGTTTGATAAAAGTTTTCAGCTGTAAAATTTATATCTAAACTATATTTCAGCAAAAACTGTGTAGTCAAAGCTAGTTTTTTGCCACAGCCTTAATATAAATACAATTGATGAAGTTTTTTTTTTAATATATATAAATCTCTAATTTAATATTTGCTTCGAGTGCGATTGAGCAAAACTAAAAATGTTTATTTTAAGAAACATAAAAAACATCTTCATAATTTTATCTGTAATGAGCATTTTCGATCTTCTTGCGCAATAATTTCCAAGATTTTTCAGTGAACGGATTAGTGGAAGTTGAATTTAAAGCATTTTTGTATGCTTTGAGCCTGAAAACAATTTCCCACCGCCATTTATATTCCTTTCTACCATCGTCGTAACATTCACTCATCATTTCGCGAACGCGGCTTTCGATTGTGTCTCTACGATTTTTAATCGTCTGGATTCTCATTTTTTCGCATTTTTTCTTATATTCTTTTTCCCATGATTTATATTTTGAAACTTCGGCTTCTTTTTTGCGACTTCTCTCTTTAAGAGATTGTAAGAAATTGCGCTTCAATTCTATGGTGTTCAGTTGTGAATATTCATCATAGTTGTCTTGGACTTGGGGGAGCCAGTACTCAAGCACAATTATAGATTTCGGAGTCCGTTTTGGATCGGAAACCGAAATACATGTACATGCGTGGGATTGAAGTGCTCGTAAAATAGGCAAAACTCTGGGTGAAAATTCTGTTCTACTGTTTTACAATTTTGCAAAATATTGTTTGCTATTAGATTATCGAAATCCAACGAATCTTTTTTGTGTATGTCAGAGACATTTTCATTACCTTTTGACAACAGAATTCCGACATTGCAGGCAACACTGTAAAGGAAATTCCCATTCAACAGAAATATACATTCTTTCTTTTTCCCAACATTTTTGACACCTCTTTCCATAGATATTCATTAAAAAGCGTCGTTCGTCCATTCCCTCTGGTGGGGAAATATCAATAGGCGGCAAAATGTTTTTTTTTGAATTCATCCAGATTGCATTTGAGGTGGATGAAGTTTCTGTCGATGAGAGGTAATCATTGAAAAGACGACAAACGGTATTTAGTGAAGCCAGATCTTTCGGGTGCAAATAACTACAAATTTTTATGAAAATTTCTGGCGGGACTGTGGTGAATACATCATTTTCAGGTAATGGTTGTGAAATTTGTGATTTGGAGGTGCGAACTTTTTTATGTGCCATATTTTTGGATAAAATAAAATCGGATGAAAAAGTGTATTATTAAGGGTTTAAGTAAGTTACACGAGTATTTATCTTTGTTGCATGCATTAACGTTAACGGTAATACGTACATGTACATGTACGTACATTGATTAATAATCTTTATCATTATCGTTATAATTTGATCATTTTAGTTATCAAGTTATCGGTCAGGTGAAATGTCTGTTAATCCATAAGTCAACTGTCTTAATAAAAGATCATCGTTAATGTTACATATAAATAAATTTCTTATGAAAAAAGTAACAAAATGACCTTTATCTATATGACAACTCTTTCAACTATAAATTAACTCGTTCCGGTTGACTAAATAAAAAGATCATACTCGTTTATTTTTTTCCCACTAAAATCATTATAATATAAAAGAAACTTTGCTCAAAGTTATACATGTACAATTTTTTTAAGTGGCCGATCAATTTTTGTCCCGTTAAGTGATCACCACATATTACGTACATAGAAGTTCTTGATGAAAAAACTGTAAAACTGACTTTCACTCAAATGATAACTCTTTAAACTATAAGCCAATTCAGTTTGCCTCACTAAATAAACAAGATTATTGTTCCTTTTTCTGTCTCAAACGATCATATATCGATACGTACGTATACATGTAATAACGAGCACTAACGCTAACGCTATACGTATAACAATTAACAATTATTATCATTATCACTATTGTTAACGTTGATTCATTATCGTTATCATCTTTTTATATTAATAACGAAACGTATTATAATTACGGTTTGTCATCGATACAATAATCTGAAATAGTAATGGAAGAAAAAACAGCCAGCGTGAAGCATCTTAACGTTAATAGTGATAGAAATTATTTTGAGTACGTTGGTTCTAATGCTAATGAATATGATATCGATAACCCATCATTAGATAATGATAGTATAAGCTTGTTAGTGAGCTTGGTATCCGAGAGTACTATAGTTGATGATAGTGATAGAGATTGTGAAATTGTAATGCAGTTATTTATCTGAGATGAAATAGGTTTTTAAAAAGCATATGCAATAACCGACGCGAATGAACTGAAGAATTTTCCTGGGAGGATGTAGAAATAGAAGATAAACATATAGATTCAGCATCGATATTCGAGCAGGAATCAGAACTGAATAAAGCACATATTTGGTCAAAATTTAACGTCTTGTGTCCTTTTAGATATGGTAGATGGTCGTATACAATGTTATTAAAAAAAAAACAAAAAGACAAAGATCTTTAAAAGTAAAAGAGGAAAACAAAATAGATTCTCTCAGTGTTATGCTCATTTCATATTCGATCAAAACTCAATCACATATTAAAAAGATACCGTTGCTTATTTTGCAATAAGCATAAACATTTTTTTAGTCGAGAAAAGACATGTATCCAGCCTTCGATGCAAGTAACTAATTGTAATATACAATTACCTTGTATTGGTTTAAAGATCTGTGCAGCTTTTTCTTCAGAAGAAGAATCATCAAATATTTCTAATAACGAAAAATTAAATTATTATTGATCACGTTATATATGTTTTGGATGTTTTAATTCGGAGGGAGGACATTTTTTTGAGAGAAATAAACGGGGGAAATAAAATCTTTTTTCATGTGAAGATAAACACAACGACTATACTACTAAAGCACTAGAATTGTATTTTAAGTATTTCAAGAAATATAAAAAAGAAATTTTAATAAATCTCAGTTCAATATTATCAATATTTGATAACAGTAATAATAATAAAACAACTTTACCTAGTCATTTATATATCAAAACAGCTTTAAGATTAAATTAAGTAGATATTGCTAAAGTTAAAAATACAATTTATGAGTTTACAACAGAATCCTCTACAAAAATTGGTGAGGCATTAGGATTGCAACATGGTAATCACATCATGAAAAACAAAAAAAAATAAAAAAAACTTGAAGAACCAAGCTCTTTAGAGAATTATCAAAGTGGATTTTCTAATTGTTTGTCTGAATTTTTCAAGAAGTTAATTATTACTATATTAAAAAAATATAAAGTTGTGATTAAAAAAAAGAAAACAAAGAGATCTTAAAATAAAAGCTTTTGACATGACTCAAGCAATCAAAATATCGATTTTTCTTATTTTAATTATATTAAATATTGCATTTTCTAATACTAATATATTATAAGTTTATTATGTTACAAATCAAAGCTGTTCTCTTTATTATATGACATTTTATATATGACAAATATTGTATCTCATACAAAACATTATAAGTGACAGTTAGAAAAAATTGACTTAAAAAAAATATAACCAAAACATAATTTATAAAAAGATGAAAATATTTGAAATATAGCAGTAATAGATAACATTATTTTTTTTAAAAAACATATATATATATATGATAATATTCTCAATATTACATTCAATACTTTTCATATTACTTTTAGAATGATTTTTCAATTTATTCTACCAATTCAATCTATTACTATAATTGATTAAAGTAAATTGAACTATACAAATCAAAATATCTTTGGTATATCAATTTTTACAGATAATCTACTTTATAAATTTGAAAAATTTTTCTAATTTCTTGAAAACTCGATTAAACAATTGGAATATAAATAATTTTTTTCATGAAATTACACAAGAAATACAAATTGAATGTTAGATTTTATCATCTAATATTATAATTCTTTAATCTGATAATAATTCAAATTATAATAAAATTATTCACAATATATATAAAATGTATTTTAATAATATAAACATTTATATATAGCTTCTAATAGTGATATATTTTTTCAATTAGTATTATATAAAGAAATAAATAAAAAATCATATTACTTTTAAAATAATAACATATATATAGTGCTTTGATAACTATTTTCTCTAAATATAAAATAATTTACTTAGTAACAAGTCTTGAAATTAAATATTTAGATGAATTAGAACAAGTAATAGATTATTGAGCAACTTGTTATATAACTAATTTGAATAATAGTATATATAGCAATTAGTCAAGATTTAACAGATAAAAAATGAAAATATAAATAATATTGAAATAGAAACAACAAATTATTAAAGATCTTCTATTATTATTTTTATTGGACTGAATATTAGATTGCTTACAAAATTGGAATTCAAAAAGAAAATTTTGAAATACAATATAAAAATCTTGCTATCTTTGCACCACTTTTTCCTATAGTAGAAAAATATAATTATTTAGAATCTGTAACACATTTCTTGTTTTATATTGAAAATAATTTATTTCTCAAATCAGGGAGTCACTAATTTCCTATTTGTATGTTAATCAGAATTTACTTTACTCTACAAGTATTAAATTTAAAGTTAATTTTAGCATTAGTCAGAAATAGAATTATAGTAAAATTGCCTTCCGACATTTTTTATTAATGCTTCAAGCCAGATTTAAGCATTCGTTTTCCATAATTTTCACATTTAAATTTTCTTGTATCGGATTTGTTTTGCCGGGTTGCTCAAAATTATGCATTTTTATTTGTTAATCTAGAAGACCCGGTGTGCAGTCAACTACGTAATTAGCGATGTAAATAATTTACGTCCAATAGGATTATAGCCAAAAATTTCCAAACCTATATGTAAACTTATAAAAAATCCTTAACTTAATCTTTAAGAGCTATCAACTCAATAGCCAGAATTTTTCCGTCAAAAAAATACGTAATATTATAGAGTAGTCAATGAACTATTAATTTACGTATTTATATTTTTTTAATCATAAGGAAGAGCTCTGATAGGATTTAAAGCTAACTCATTTTTTGTGTGGTGACTAAGTGACCCGCACTGTATCTATTAAAATATACTCAGAAAAATACACATCGAAATGCGTACAAATGATGAAAAAAAACTTATTGAGAAAATTTCAAACAAAAATCAATTTGCAGCGTAAAATAAGCGGTTGATTTAGTGTTCTAGGTTGTTTCTTCTTCAACAAAAACAATCATTGTTATCTTTGTTTTAGCAACCATGAGAAGTACGTACAAAGAATAAATTTATTGCTATTTTCTCCTACTATATAAAAAAGCAGGCAGCAAGACCATTCAAAATCATCGGAAAATTTTTCGCTCGTATGTCTAAAAAAACTGATTGCTCAAAGGTACTTGAATGCACACAAAATTTCTTTTATACATGTATCTATCGCTGTTTGCATATTTTTGTGACCCCCCCCATCGTTCTAAGGGTCACAAACATATACGTACATGTACATTGATATACGTAGGTTGCTCACTAATACATGTACATGTAATACGTAATTACATGTAGATATCATCCATTCATTCCCATCTCAATGTGTTGGTAGTTTAACCTAACGCTAACGTAACTTTAGAAGATATTCCTCCAAAAAATCAATTCAAATCTTCTGACACAACTCCTGCTGCTATGTCGGGAAATAGAAATAATAACACATATACAGTCAAAGTCCTTTACAACGACCGCATTGGGTTGGCACTTTTGGGCCAGTATATAGTGCTTATATTATAAACTTCGATATATAGGGCGTTTTTAAATGGTTAAAAATCGTAAAAATCGGGATATCAATACGGTATAAGCCGAATCCGATGTATACAGCGCCGTTGTAAAGGACTTTGACTGTATTAATAATCATAACAATAAGAATAGTCATAATTATAACGATAACAATAGTCACAACAACAACATTACTATAACAGTGGTGACAGTTATGGTGTTAGCAACCATAATAACCATACTGATGATGAAAGATACAAATTCAACAAGACCATCACTATCTGGTAATTTATTAATTAATCAACGAATCAATTTCTGTATATAATATATCCAGCCGCTGACTTAGGTTGATTTCAATAAAGATTTCGTAGTATGTATCGGTCCGCCATCTCCGCCGTCGTCACGTGTTTTAAGATTTGGCCAATCATATGGTCTGTTATCGAACAACGTTGAATATTGAATTTTTTAAAGTATAGAAGCGGATTACTCTCACATTTAGAGTAAATATTGCCAGAAAGATGAGAAACAATGATGTCATTGTTAATTAGTTAATTAAATTTTGTATGATTTTAATACCGAAACGTGTATTGGTATCGGCGGTATATTTACGTATATCGGTATTTCTATGAGCATAACACATGAGACACCGATATTGTCTTTATCGATGTAAAAGGGGTAATCAAAATGCCTGATACATGTACATGTATTATAAAACAAAAGACAACTACGTACAGTTCCGGCGGAAAGTAATGGCGGTGAGAATTATTATGTAAATTTTACTATAATGCTAGCGATAACGGTAAGAATTCGCCCAAGAAATTATATGATTCAGAGTCAATTGCAACAGAAAAGAATTGATTTTTTGATTACGCTGGTTCTGTGAAGTTAATTGTAAAAAGTCGTTTTATAATGGATTCTTGGTACATGTATATTGCTTTCGCAAAGGGATCGGCACCGGGAAAGATAAAAATAAATCATTTGAAACGTTGTCGACACAGGACTTGCTAATTCGTATGTTCAATTAGAACTTATCAAATTAGGAACCGGTCTTTTTCTTGATTAGTAAAAGTTCGGCGTTGCTTGGAAATCTAAAGCATATTGTTTTTGGAAAGAATGTAGGTATGAAACTGATAAATTCTCTGGCTTCTCTGGAAACGAGATTGCGTGAGTATCGAGCAACCATCAAAAAATGACAACTTGTATATCTTTATTTTCAAATAATTTCTCTCGAATTACTTTTTTTTTAGATCTATCATTTATTTTTTATTTAGTGATTTATTCACTCACTGTTCTATAGCGATAGGACAAATGCATTATTTTCACGATATTTGTATGTTTAGCCTTTTCTGTATGTGTTTGGAATAAATTGCAACATACGTAGATACGTACTGCGTGACTTGCTCATTGATGATTGCACAATGCTAAAATTCAGCGAATAATACCCTTGTGAATTCCACTTGTGCTGAATATAACGTCGCAAAATATCCATAGCTCATGTTATTGAAACTTGAAAAATAACGGTAATGATTCATCAGAAATAGATTGTTTCCTGGGTCTGGTCAAATTTGAAAATATCTATCACATATAAACAGAAGAAAATAGCGTTAGTTATATTATAATAACTTTTAGAATAAGTGTACGTTGATTGCTTACTTACCTGTTGATTTCCTCTTCGGAAGCCCAAGATTTTAAATTTAATTAACGTTAAGGTTGTGTTATCCATGCTATCGCTATGTTCTATATCAATCTCACTTGATACGCATCAAATCAGGTCAAATTTCCAAATGTCGTTTAAAGTAAAATTATTTCAATATCACAATTTATATGGTCAATACAGCGTTTGCAATTCGTTATACAAGAGAAAAGGCACAGTTAAAGATATTTATACATAATATTCTCAGATAAATACAAAGAAAACTTTTAATATATTTGTATTTATTCATATCTTTAACTGCATCTAATATTTGAATAACTGTTAAATTTTTATAACTCAAAAACTTTTGCTCCAAATTAATATTATATTCTGTTGCAAATCTACTTGATACTTCGGTTATTCTAGCTGATATGGCCAAAGCTATTAATTTACAAACGTTTACCAAGCATCACAAATAGAAAGGAATCAAGTATCTTAGTGGTTCTGTATGTAGAATCTCTAGGATTTCCAGTGATGTCAACCTATAAGAATATCTTTGCACCTTTTGGATCTGCAATCTCAAATGATTGTTCAATTGAGATTTTCACGTGAGCTTTTTCATTTCTGATTGGTCAGTGTTCTGCATCATAAACAACTAGGACATCTGGAATTCCACCGAGAAGAACCACTAGATTACTTACCTTGTGCATCAAGATCAAAGAGAAATATATTTATAATAATTTAGCTTTATTTCCTATGCCATATTTCCTGTTTCCAAAATAATCTATTCGCTTTTTTCTGTAATGCAAGAGAAACTTTCTTAAATATGAGTTAATTTAACTATTTTTGTAAATAAATAAACTAATGTTTAAGGGTCCGAACGGTTTGGCTCGTTTTTCGACTAGAACCGACACAGACTCGAAAATCCGTCTCGATTCTAGAAACGATTCCAGTTCTTGAGTATTTTCTAACTGAACGAATCGTAATTTCAGTTTGGTACCAATTCCAAATCGAAAGCAGCTTTAGTTCAAAAAATCAATGCTAAAATTATTTTTAAAGTTCAAAGTATATAATTTTAACTACAATATTAAAAAAGAAATAGTGCTTGAAATTTCACATAAAAAGAGTCATCTATATGAGATACAGACATTTAAATAGAAATTGTGTAAAATGTATTAAATTGGATATTAACACAAAACCGAAACGAATCGTTTTCAAAAAGAAGTGAATCGAATCGTAATTTGTGTTCGATTTCGATTCGGTTCCGATTCTGAATAGAATCGTTCGGCACCTTCAGGTATTGAATTTATTGTTTTTATTCTCATCTGCGAATATTATTGAGTGTTACATAATTTATTAACGAAGCTTTATAGACTTTGAAAATTATAGACAGGTATTATTTATAAACATTATTAATTAATTTCTAATCTATTATAAAAAAACTGAAGTTAAGAAAATACTTTTTAACTTGATAATAATTTACAAATAACTTTCATTCTCTAATTTTATTGGTCAAATTAATGCACCAAACGTATATTTTTCTTTTTGCTAATGTGATTTCGACTATCCAAGCAAATTTTTACGGTCATTATAATTAATTATAATTGTGTGTCCACTGTCTGCTGCTTTCAAATGCCACTCGAATGCTTTTTTGAGTTCCAACACTCTTTTGATAACGAACACCTAGATTATATTATCCTCCCGTATTTCAACCTCTGCTGATTTCAAATACCACTCGAATGCTTTTTTTCGTCTTTTTGAGCGCCTATGCCATTTTGATAACAAATACCAAGAACAGATTGTATCCAAGCATCTCCGTTTTCAACTAAAAATGCCAATCAAATAAAAAGAATTTTGAAGAACTATGTTTTTTTGGTATATACCTCTTCATAAATGATATAATTTTATATCGATAACAAAAATCGACAAGTAAATAGACAGCAATGACTGTTTTCAATTTCATTTTGACCTATCGTTATGTCTTGGATTATTGATTTTATTCTTAAAGATAAAAGCAAATGCATGTCAAAATAATTTTTAAAATATAGTTTTATAAAATGAAACATTGATATTTGAATTTTGTGAATTTACATTATAAACCTTCATTTCAATGTAAACAATTACTGTATATACGTATTACTCTAGATTTCAATTCCAATCTTACTTTTTTTAACCCCCCCCCCCCGCCGGTTATTTAAATAATGAAAATAGGTCGTAGTTTTTTTTTGCATTTAAAATTAGCGTTAAAGATTACTGGTTATATTATAATAATTACTTTATTTGAATGAATTACAAAAACTAAAAATTTTTTGTAGATAATAATTTGTGAAATAAAATCGGACTCCTCGTTTTATCGAATTCTTAATTTAGCGTTAGTTACGAAAGATTATCGTTAACCTTAAAATTAATGATTTTTGCATTTTCAGATATTACATGTACATATAACGATAACGATAAGTGACCAGATAGAAATGAAATTTGCCGTATCTGAATGGACGAAAAATGCAAATTTAGAAGTGCAAAAAGAAATTCATCGGAACTCTAACTGAAATTAGCAATATGATATATATATATACGTAAAGTGCATTTTCGAATTTGACGCGCGTTATACATGTAAATTTTTTCACGTCAAATTATGGATAGTTGATGCGTAATTTAACGCTTTCTAAATATTGAATAGCCTGTGTTTCTTTACTTAAAGTTTTTCAATAGATTGGAGTGAGTCTCTTTTTGTTTCAAATAACGGATTAGCTCTTAGTAAGAACATTTATAGTATTGAATTAACCATAAATTATAATTTCTACATCAAAAAAGTGGTTACTCATTTATGTTATGCAAGTATATGAAGATTTTTTGAGTATGAATACTATAATAATGCTAGATTGATTTTTAGGACCTATGTTTATTGTTTAAAATCATAGTGATAATAGGTTGTATCCAGTGATTCGTAAAATTCAGAAAATATAACTTTATTTTAAGCTTTTCCATCGCGAGAATAAAATATAATTTGCATGAAATTGTTATAATGCTTGTTGGCATCATTGCTATTTACAAACTTTGGTTATCTATTTTAAAGAAGCTATCGTTATCTATAAATCATAATTTCGAAACTAACGCTAATGCTAACAAGCAAACCACAACAAATGACGATAATAATGTGTTTGTCGTATTTTTGACCAGATCGATATTGATATTGGGTAACAAATTTTAGGGATAAATCCAAATCTATCAACGTTAAGGATTTATCGTTATACCAATCGATATATTATACGGTAACGGTAACGGTAATGTTTTGTTTGTTTAAAAGCACTGTACATGTACATGTATCGGTATAATTTACGATCTACGTTCGTAATTGGTTTGACTAACTGGACACTGGTAGTGTATTATTAAAATAATAAAAAAAAATATATATTTATAAATTTGCTACTAAATACTAAGAGAGAAATTATTGATTTTTGATTAGAAAATGGAATCTACTTCAGCGTTTCAATTGCTTCCAACAGAAACACGCCAAGAAATATTCAAGAATCTCAACAAATCATCACTTTTCAAATGTCTTTTAGTTGATCGGCAATGGTGTCGTGAAATAGTGCCTATTCTTTGGGAAAAGCCATTTCCAGTAGTGCAACGACAATTAATGGAGCGTAGAACCATTTTTGAAATAGAAGTTTGGCGAAGAGATCGAAGAAGAAAATTATCTGATGCAACATTAGCACAAAACGAGAAATTGGCGAAGATTGTGAATGTGTATGTTGGTCTTTTTTCCAAAAACACTTGGAAGTTTCTTAATAAACATAACATCAGTCGACCACGGAGTACGCGAGCACCGACATTTAACTATGCGTCGTTTTTGCGACACTATGAATTTCATGCGATGTTGCAAGCAGCTGGAGCTTGGCTACAACAAAAAATTGATCCTCCGACTACAAAACAAGTCCAAAGACGTAGTGCATTGGTGAATGCTTTGTGTCAACTGCTTCTCATAGAAGCAAAGTCCATTCAGTCATTGTATCATAATTTGTGCAAGGATGATGAATTTTGGAGTAGAATTCCTCCTGAATGCTCGGCAAAATCGATCTTTAAGAATCTCAAGGAATTGAGAATAACTGGTATTACCAACGAAAAAGAGCTGCAAAAGTTCCTTGAAGAAATGGCTGATATTTGTCATTCTATTCGTGGAATTACGATCTTTAAAGATCCTAAAGATATTGTCAATTGTAATACAAATGAAAATACAGACGATAGATTGAAGAAGGCAATAAAGGCACAAAATGAGCTTCGGTGGCTTGAATTGAATCGTTTATCTGCTATTACCGTCAAATTAATCAGCAGTGCTCTTTGCACTTCATCCAGCACATTGCGAGCAATCAGCTTCTACAAAATCGACTTTAATCTATTCCGTGCTGAATCTCTAATTGAAGGCTTAAGTGATTGTGTTAACCTTTTTTGTCTCGATTTTTACATCTGTTCAGCAATTGAACAACAATCGTGGCTTGAAACCGCTAAAAGTTTCAAAAAATTGGAATTTCTAAGTATTGAAGTCACATCGCTCATTGACATGCCACTCGAGTTCATAAAGCAAGTTATCGAATGCAGCGGTGATAATCTCAAACATCTTCTACTTCGAGAGGAATATTTTCGCTATACTTACGAACCTGACCAACAAATTACCGAGAAACTTTTATCTTTTGTACTTTTGCACACTCAAAACCTTCATTCAATTGATTTAATCAAGTTAAACATGGAGCAAGCTGCTGCTCTAATTGCATCCTGCCCAAAACTCGAGCATCTTAATGTCTATTCAGAAAAGTTAGATGAATCGTTAAATGCCATGACAGGCGCACTTCCAGCACGGATCCGTTCGCTTGGAATTTACTGTGCGGCGTTCCAATTTTTATATTCTGTGGACAAACCTTTGCTTGGATTCTTGGATGCTGCTTGTGGCAATTTGAAGTATCTTTCCGTATTTTTAGACGGCATCGACGATAAAGTTAAGACAGAGATCAAGAATTATGGTATTGAATTTACACAAAAGGCGTTACATGATAGTATGTGGTATTTTTTCTTAAACATGTATAGATTGTTAAGCTTTCAAATGTCTAAACATCTTATTTTTCTATTTCAGGAATTTATCCTTATTATTTTCCAAGAACTTAGGTCGAGCATCCAAACATGAGAGTCTTGGATTATTCACAGAAAGAAATTCCACTAATTTTATGCCATCGAGCATCATTAATAAAGAACTAAAATTATAAGTGTCTATACTGAAAATTGTTCAGCTAGTTCCTCGAAATAAAATACCATGAATTTTATATTGCAAAGATTACAAAAATCAATATGTACGAGTTCCTCTATACTTTTCATTTCGCTTATAAAACACTTTTATATCCACAAACTCTACCCACTCTTTAATCTCCGTAAGCAATTTCTTGTCAAAGGTGAAAATTGAAGAGCGCACACTCAACTTTATATGAACTTTTCTTTTTTTACAGAATTTACGAATAACCCTTAAATGCATTTCATCCGCACTAACATTCATTCCGAGTCCCAGCTCTTTAATTGGGACAGCCAGACTTGATAGAACCAAATCCAAGGCTTCTGAAGTTAATGAATGCGAATTGAAGTACAAAGTTTGCAGGTTGACGCTCGCTCGTTTTGCCAATCCCACCCAAAAGTAAGAAACATCTTCACGTCCTGTCCGGAAGTTTACGATTCCTAGATGTTCCAATTTTTCGAGTGCAGAGAGGGCGCGAAGGAAACCTGGCATTGCAGATAGTTCAAGATTGAGTTCCAAAGATTCTAGGTTTTTTGCATACTCTGAAATCACATCGAATAATTCTTTGTCGTAACTTTTCTTGAGAGAGAGATCTTTTAGGATAGGTCCACAGATTTTGAGCAATGGAATCAAGAATTCCTTATTGAACGCGTTCGAATTGGGGTCAGACGGGTGATTATCAAAGTACAAATTGCGAAGGCATTTGGGAGTTTCAGTTAAAGTTGACAACCAATAATCGTTATAATCGTTATCGTTAAATTTATAAACAAATTCTTCATCAGATCCTTCATCGGATTCTTCTTCCGGTTTACATCGAATGAATCCCAGTGCTTCCAATTTGATGAAAGACCCAAGTCTTTCCAACAATTTCATTGACCAACTGGAAAACCAAGAATGTTCGAATTCAAGATAAACAAGAGAATCCTTCTGAGAGATGAGAGCATCAACAAGGGATCTTTCCTCGTCATCAACACCATAAAACAAGACGTGTTTCACTCCATTCTGCGCTTCAATTAATTCACACAAATCTTTACGAGCTCTCTTCCGAATAAATCCGAGATCCACATGAAGAACCTGTATACCACGACAAGCCGACTTTAATACCTTAATCAAATTTCCAACAGCGACATAATCAGAATTGGTATTATATTTGGCACAGCGAAACATGATTTCTTGGAGGTTCACAACTGTCTCTTTTACATTAGGAAATTTGACGATACTTGGAATAGGATAATGAGATCCTTCTCCATTGAAATCAATACATTCCAATTTTGTGCTTCTAAAAATGAGTTTATTGATTTGTGTCATGATTTGGTTCAAAATTTTCGTTAGAAATTTCTCGTCTTCATAATTACATTTCTCAGAAATATCTTTCCAGATCGAACTCGTGAGAATAGCTGGGTCGTATCTGTTTTCTTTTTCATTAAACCAGGAAACCACTTGTTCAAGTTCATTCCAATCAAGTTCTTTGATGAAGTTGGCATATGGAAATAAGGCGCGAGGACACGACTCCACAGCCATGATTCCAGAATCAATCAATGCTTGCCGTTCCTCGTCGTTCATACATTTGATGTACGCTTCGCTAATACTTATCCCTTTTTTGGCATTGTTAATATCATAAAAGGTGGATTTCCACAATCGCGGAATGACCAATCGACTCCAGGTTCGATCGACTAAAGCTGCGGAAAATAATATGGGTCTTTCGTGGATAAAAAATAATATTCTGTTGAAACAATCGATTGGCAGCTTTGAGATTGTCATTTTGATGGAGGAGGAGGTAGTTTGGGTGGTTTTATTTTCAATGTTTTGGGCTTTGAGGTCTTCCATTTTAAATTTTTTAGATTATCCAAAAAAATATTTTACTGATCAGTTACCGTTATGTATACAAAAGGTTGTTGTATTAATGGACTTTTATAGGTACATTATTTTCGGTGATCACGTGTACTTTTTGTATAAGTACGTAATTTGATGTTATACTACAAAGGGAATCTTAACACACCAATAAAGAACAGAAATACTGTAATTGTACGAATTTCAATATGCATAGTGATAAAAAACAAAAACTGCAAATTCTAAACAAAAAATAGTTATAAAAGATGCTTTTGTCTTTAGTAAATTACAAGAGAAAATTCTGATATTTTTATTATCACTGTCACTTTCCCAATCTCCCCTTTTACAAAGATTATCTTTACACTCAGATCTTCAGTGCCAAGCAAAAACAAAGCTTAAATGATATATCTTTTAATTTTCAATTTACAAAATCTTCAAACTTCCTAATAATATCAGTTCAGATATTAACTTCAAGTGCAAAAAATTCAAATTCCTATTGAAACAAGCAAGTTGTAGTACTATCTCAGTAATTATAGTTATATACCATGACTAACTCTATAACTATTTCTTTGATTTTCAATATGTTTTTTTTATATTATATTAATATAATCTTTTTTCAAAAATATATTACTTCTCAAAAATTACTCATATTTATATATTTTTTATAAATACATACTTTGATAATAACAAATAAAAAGTAAAATATGATATATAATATCTAAAATTATCAAATATTTGTAATATATAAACTTCTTTACTAAGAAGTAAATACAAAATTCAATTCATTAATATACTCAAAAAAAATTTATTTTATTATATTCATGAATAAAATTTTGTATTTACTTATTAGTGAAAAAGTTTATATATTTTATAAAATATAAATATTAATAATTTTATATTATATAAAAGTAATAATAAATAAAATAATATATAAAATAATATATAAAATAATATATAAAATTAACTAAATATAGTAATTAAGTTATAAATAATAATTTGTTTATAATTATTAATATTAAAAATTAAAAATTAAATAAAAATTATAAAACTAATAAATTTAATATTATTATACTAATATATATTATAAAAAATTTAATATTATTATATATTATAAAACTTACAATTTTTTAATAATATAATTATTAATAAATATATAAATAATAATTAATTAAATATAAAAAAATATAGAAATCAAAAATTACAAAGTCAAGCAAAAAATAATAATATATAACAAAACTTAAAAAATAAAAAATATAATTAATTATATATTATTTAGTAAATATATTTAAGTTATTTTTAAAAATAGTTTAAAATACTAAATAATAAAAAAAATATATATATTTGTTATTAATAGTAATATATCATTAGATTTTAAAGAGTTTAAATTAAAATATGAATTAAAGTTATCGAATAATACACACTCCTATACTATATTACCAGAAATTAAAAAAAAATAATAAAACAAAATAATTTATATTTTAGTATAAAAATAAAAAATATTTATTAATAAAATAACAAATTTTAATATAAAGCAATAATGTCAATTTTACT